TCTCTCTCTCTCTCTCTCTCTCTCTCTCTCTCTCTCTCTCACTCTCACTCTCTCTCTCTTTTTCCTCTCTCTCTCTCACACACACACAGCAATTTAAAAAAAAAAAAAAAGTTTAATTAAGGAGGTTCTCAAAGAATGCTCTCTAAGACATTTGGGTTCTTCAGCCCCCCAGGGTGAAAGGTTACTCTTGATGCCCAGTCGATTTAAGAAAGACTGTTAGAAAAGCTTTGGTGTGGCCAGCCGGGCTTTCCACATCCTCAGAGTTTTACCGTCACCGTGGCCTGTGAGGACAGCTTCCTTCAGTTAGACCTGTACCATGGCATTTGTACCGCGGAGGGCCACTGCCTCCCCTGCCTAAAGTCACCCTCCTTCAGGCCAGAGAAGAGCCCATGCATGTCCCTGCCTCTCCCTGTGCCCTCTGGGAGGAGGCACTAGTGACTGAGGATACTGCACTGCATGTCTGTCCGTCCGTCCTTCGTCCGTCCGTCCTTCGTCCCCTGTCTCTCCCGCCCCCCCCCCATTCCTGGTTAAGTGCAGAACAGAGGCCCAGTAGCTCAGCCTGTCTCTTCCAGGGCTAGTGGGCCAGCCAGAGCTCCTTTTGGTCTCTGTGCCCTAGTGAAACATTGGGTCCTGCAGAAGCCACGTTTCGTGAGCTCACTCCGGTCAGACCCTGCTGGGGCTATGGCTTAACTGGGTCCCAGTACTTGCAGCACTGCTTACCACAGGAGGCCTCCCCTTACTGTGGCCTGGGGATCATCTGATCTGCTGGTTTTCACAAGAGCGGGTCTGATCTCAGTCCAAACATAGAGTGGGTCATGGCAGGGGTTTGATTGTATTGGACATCAAAGTGACTGGGGACCATGGAAGCTGCATGGCTGGCCACTTACCATGGTCTGGGCAGGTGACCAAGTGTTCCATTTTGCTCAGAACTAGTAGTTTCCTAGGGTACGGGACTTTGAGCATAAAAATGGGGATAGTCCCAGACAAACCAGGAGTTGCAGTGGTCACTGGAATGCTCAGTGAACACATCCCTGTGTCTCACACTGGATCAAAAAACCAGACACAACCAGGATCCTGCAGACCTCAGGTCCTCTCATGCTTACTGTTCCAGGGACCAATGTAATCTTTTTTTTTCTTTTTTTCTGAAGTTAGGGGTCAGTTCTGTCTGTTCTTGGACTTCATGAAATGACCCAGAAGGAGGCGACTGGCTTCTTTACTCAATGCCATGAGACGAATTCATACTGTTACACCCAGCTGTGGATGGCTCATTATCTAAGCTATGCAGCATGCCATGGTGTGAACATAATCTAGGTAGTGTCCAGTCTGTAGCGTTACAGGCTTCTGGCACACGTGTTTTTCACATGTGTTTTTAGAGAGAATAACTCTGCATTTCCACTGGAAATGTAATCTGGAACTCGGCCTACTGGGTCAGAAGAGCACTGAGTTTTAAAGCAAATTCTTTTAGATTCTACTCTCCCCCTCCATTGCTCACTAGATCACTCTTAAAGTGAAGAATAAGAAGTAAGGACAATTTTTTTTAAAAAAATGGGGAAGATAACCTTGATGTACAGGAACCAGCCTGGTGTCAGGAGTAAAGAGGGATGGGAGGCAGGTAGCGAGTAGGCTCGACCCTCACTCAATGTCCCGATGGGTGCTCCCATTGCTATGGCAGTTTTCTGGAGTGCTCCTTGAGGGCTGGTCCAAATCTGAGAGTTCCTCTCCAGCTCTAGGGAGCTCTCGGTAGAGCACATGATGCTAAAAACGGAAGTGGGAGGGAGCCAGATGGTTTCCCTCAAGGCCCTGCTGTACAGAGCTGGGGCTGCTGCTGGAAGCTGCTGGAAGAAGCTCTTAAGTACCCTTGTGGCATCTTCTGCCCGGCCTCATCCCTCTCTTTAGAGCTGGGTTGTCTGACAGTTCAAACCTTGGCCTCTTCCACCTTTTTTTAGGACGTCCTCCCGACCCCTCTCTAGGACCAGTGAACGCTATTGGATATCATTGGCCAGATAATGGTGGGTTTTTACAGTGTTCGCCACCCGTCGGGGCAGTACCTCCCGAGGTACAGTCAGCACCATTATCACATCAGTGTGGGTGGGGGGCAGGATCCAGCTGGCATTAATGCCACCATGTCTGGCATTGCTTAATTCTCAATCTCCCTACAGCAGAGCTTTATCATCAGATCTGAGGCTGAGGCCTGTTCTTCTCTCGGGGTGGAATGTCAGGAGAGCAGAGAGCATTTGTCTCTTAGACTACACTTGCTCCTTTACTGTCTTTAAAGTCACGGACATGATCTGACTAAATGAGTGGCTGGTTAAGGGGGGTGGCCACATGCCTGCCGGCAGAACTACTGAGGGCTTCCGAAGGGCTTAGGATTTATTCCCATTTTAGCCTTAAGGATCCGCAGTGGACGATTTAAAACAGCTGGGCAGGTTCATGGGCAGAACCGAGGACTAAAATGGGGGTTTAGTCGTGTTTGCCAGAGTCGGGGTTTGGGGGTAACAAACTTGAAGGCAGTGGCTGGGAAGAGAGCAGAGAGGCAGGGAATGAGACGCATTCCTGGGTTCAGCAGAGGGGAGAGCAGCCCAGTCCCAGGCAGGGCAGACAGAGGCTACAGCCGCACACTCTCGCCTTCTCGGCATTTCCCTGACTCGTATAGAGCTGGAGTTGGGAGGATGAGGGCAACAAGGAAGGAGGACTTGGTAATGGCTGCCGAGGGCAGGAATGGCAGAGCAGGGGTGAGACAGGGTTCAAGAGTGGCTCTCCCCAGGGGTAAGGAATCACCCAGTACTCAGGAAACAGAGCGGGGGAAGCCAGCGGGAAGGAGGTCTCCGGAAGGAAGGGGGATCTAGCACAGGGGCATAGGCCTGGTCTAGCATGCTTTTGGCCTCGGGTTTAATGCCCAGCATTGAAAAGGCATTAAGAAAGTAGAACATGGCCGGGCAGGGCATGGAGCGGGGGCTGGAGAGATGGCTCAGAGGTTAAGAGCACTGGCTGTTCTTCCAGAGGTCCTGAGTTCAATTCCCAGCACCCACATGGCAGCTCACAACTGTCTTTAACTCCAATTCCAGGGAATCTGGTGTCCTCACACATGCAAGCAAAACCCCAATGCAAAATAAATCGATCTTTAAAGAAAGAAAGAAAGAAAGAAAGAAAGAAAGAAAGAAAGAAAGAAAGAAAGAAAGAAAGAAAGAAAGAAAGAAAGAAAGAAGTGAAAGTAGAATACCCTCAAGTGTTCATGATTCAGATTTGAGAAGAAATGTCAAGAATCCACATGCGTGAGAGAGAAGCATCCAAGAACTTGCCCAGACAGATAGCAGCTTTATGAAAACTGGTTAAGTCCCTTGATTTAAGACCAGATAACCCTGGGGTAGGCGTGTCAGACAGCATGAGCGTATTTGCTAACTGGTTGATAGGTCATTTTTTTCTAAGATAAAAAGACACATGACCCTTTTTGCAAATTCTAGCAATAAAGTCTAAGACAGAAAAAAAAATTGAACCCCAAAACTAAGCATAGTTGTTTAATCCCAGGACCTGGGAGGCAGAAGCCTGAGGATCGTGAATCCCAGGCCAGTCTGCACTATACTACATACTGAAACAGAAGCATTACTAAAATATCCAAACTCTACCTTGGCCATCATGCTATGTACCAATACTGTAGGTTTCTAATTCAAGAGGAACTTGGGCAAGCGGAGAGCTGGGCAGGACAGAGTGTTTCAGATGGGTGTGCTGCCAGGAAGGAGCAGTGCCAGGGCCAGAGGCTGGGGCTCCCCGTGCCTGCGGGGACGAGGACAGCGATTAAGACCTATCTTTGCAGGATTCCAAGTCCTAATTAGGAAAGGAGACGTGCAGAAGGGGCCCTTTTGGCATTCCTCGGCACGACTGTTTGCTTTTCCAGCTCTCCTTTGGAGAACTGCAGGACTCCCCTTCCCCCCCTCCCCCCCTCCCGCTTCCTGCTTCAAATAGAAAATGTAGAGGTGAGAAGAAGCAGGTGCCCACAAGCAAAGACAGTCTGCATCTCGGTGGGCGGAGCTTGCTTAGGCCACCCACATCACAGAGGTCGGGAGGCTGAAAGGTCCCTAGGAAGCCCAGCCCAGTCACTGTAGTGACAAGATGGAGGAGCACATAACAGTGTAAATTCAAAGACTGGTGACCTTCTTCTAGCAGGACTTCGTGGGTACGTGACCGAAAATGATTCAGATTGCCCACGTGGACTTCAGTCAGCATCTTGCTTTAAGAAAAGCCATCTACAATGGTGTATTACTACTCAAAAGCACAAATATGTCAAACAGAGTGAGAAAGTACACACTCACGACTCTAAGCTCTTTGTTCTTGCATTCAGCAGAGGGTTCCTCCCATGGCCAGCCTCCTCCCAGTGTTTCAAGTGGGTGTTGTTCAAGCACAGTGTTCGGGTACAAGCAGATTTCATAAGCAGAGGCCTTTTGAATGCTGAACAGCTCCAGCAGCTGTCGGTGTGGTGTGGTTTATGATGGTGGATTAATAAGGATTGGGAGAAGGATATTCATAAAACCCTGACTTAAGGGGGCCGGAGATGTATTTTCATGGGGCATGGACAGGGTCAGGAAAGGACTACTGCATATGTAATTTTCAAGCTGAAGAGGTAGGGCTATTTGTTGAAGCATTATTAAGAATTTAAAAATGGTGGCAGTTGAGCATTAATGCTAGGCGCAGGGTCCATCTCAGGGTGGGACTCTGGGCAGCTGTGCAGGTCATATACTCACAGAGTCAGCCCTTGGTTTGACATGCAAGGTGAGGGCGTTGTTGGCATGATGGAGAGATGCACTGGAGGGCACAAGTGAGGCTGTGAGCTTCTGTCTGTTCTTGACTTTGAGATCGCTGCCCTCCAAACCGTGTTTGGCTTAGGCTACTGGGAGATAGTACAGGTTATCAAGAAGAGTTGTATGATATACATGGCGCCAGATGAACCCTAACTGTGGACTGTCCCGTGTGCTAGTGCAATGCACACCGCTTTCTTAATCTGCATAAAAATATGAGCATGCAGCAGCAGTAGAGGGCTGGCCTGGGAGTCCAGGCTCCTGGGCTCGCATCTCAATGTCTGGGACTCTTTGGGCAGGTTACCTAACCAATTCTGGGCCTGGGCCTCACCTGCCATCTCTGTATAATGAAGAAGTGAAAAATTACCTGTGTTCTGGGGCGGGGTTGAGATGAAATGAGTTCATCTACTTCAGATCCTTCACACTGCTGGCGGTAAAAGTGTGCTCAGCACCTGCTTGCCCATGAAGACGGGACAGGGACTCTGTAGTTAAGTGAGAGACTGTTCTGGAGCACGAAGAGAGAAGTGGTACAGAGGGTGGGGGAGGGGCCCAAGGCCACTCAGCTAATGTGTGGCGCTCTGTCCTCTGCCACACAGCCTGTGGGTGGGCTTCCCAGGGGAACAAATGCCTCAGGACGCCTGTCCCCTCCTTGCTGATGAAAAGTGCTCATGTTTACGGGGCTCACATTTGCTGAGCCATCCCTATAGGGTGCCCCACCCCACCCCCACAAATCTGGAGGTGTATAATGAAGCAGAAAGGAGAATATGGAAGAGTGTGGATGAGAAGAAGGGGCGCAGTGAAGGTTCTGTGAGGGGTGGGAGCCGGCCTGAGGCTTGGGATGGAGGAGGAGGGTGGAGGCGTTTCTCGGCTCCGCTCTGTAAGTAGTGGAAATGTGTACACTCATCAGGCCGTCCACCTCAGCCTCACAGGTGGTTGATGTAAAGGGGCTGGGGAGACCAGGGGTCACTCAGGGCGTGCCGTGAGCGACTGAGGAGAGACACAGAAGCCGTCTGGACTTCTTCTTGGAGGTAGAGGAAAGGCAGGGGTAAGAGCCATATAGTTAGTGTGTGCTTCAGAGGGCAGGGAAGAGCCCCCACCTTTGACCTCAGCACTCACTTAGGGGAGTCATGCTCCCCCCCCCCCCGTCCCTCCCAGCTCAACTCCCCTTCATTCTTGTTCTCCCGCTCTTCTCGCCCAGGGTCAGCGGACTGTCCCCCTTCATGGGCGACAATGACAACGAGACCTTAGCCAACGTTACTTCGGCCACTTGGGACTTTGATGATGAGGCGTTCGATGAGATCTCCGACGATGCCAAGGACTTCATCAGTAACCTGCTGAAGAAAGATATGAAGTAATAAGCGGGGACCACAGTCTTGTCGGGCTCCGGGTGGGGGGCTGGGAGGCAGGCCCTTCCTTTACCTGGGAAGCTCCCTCTTCCTGGCTCCACACCAGTCCCGTGTGCCCTGAAGAGGAAAGAGTGGCCCCTGAGAGACCCAGTCGGTGGTTGTGTGGAATGGTCCCCGCTTCCTGGTGCCAGGCACCCCACCCACTTTAGAAGCACAGAAACCCCGTTGGAATGGTGACCCTGAGCAAGGGTCCCAAGGGAAGGACCGCTTCTCAGTGATGATTGGCCTGATATTGTCTGTTTGGTTTTGGCCCTCACAGTCCTGCAGATAGATCCTGCAGGCCCTGGTCAGGGCTCGTGGGACCGGGGTGGGGTGCGGTGGGGGTGGGGGTGGGGATGCCGAATGCCAGCTTAACTTACAAGCATAGATAACAGAGACAGCCGACAGCCCATCGGAGGGTCCTCTTTATACCCTCAGATTATTCTGGCTTGGTGTTTTATTCACATCGAAATTATTCCTTAGATGGGGTCCAGTTCCTTCTAACATAGGACAAATTGGTGAGCAGCAGATGCAAGTTGACGGCAAGCTGTGAAGACAGATTAAACATAGAGCCTTTGTCATAGTTGGAGTGGAGCTAGGTAGAAGAGGTGGGCTGAGGTCACACAGCTTGTTGGGGTGTCTCTCCAGGTGAGTGGAGTCAGCTGAATTAAAGCCAGAAGGGGAAAGGGGGGCCTCTGCTTGGGAGGCTCTGTGCTCCTCAGGAGAGCTGCTGGGGCAGGGAGCCCCATTCTGTAAATAAGTATCCAGAGCAGAACCTGTTCCCAGTACCGCCCCCCCACTCTACCCCCAGCTCTGAGTGGGACTTGGCAATAAGAGGTAGTTGTGACTTTGCCAAGAAGGGCGGTGTTGACATAGGGGATGTGGCAAGGACAGGAGAGGGCGGCCACCTCCAGGGGTAGGCAAGAGGTGCGGAGTCAGTAGGTGATTTTGCAACCTGACTTCCGCCCAGCCACCTGGTTCCCGGTGCTGTAGCTTGTCCCCTGCAACCCTGGGAACAGGAGAGAGCAGCTGCTGCAGGGGACTGCTGGAGACCCTCTTAGATGGCTGTGCCTGATTTCATGCCCACCAATCTCCGACCTCTTGAGCCTCCCAGATTCAGACTCCTCGAGGGATAGTCACACTTCTTCACAATGCAGTCCCAGCCTCTTAGTGGCCGCAGTGGTTGTGTCAGAAGTTAGCAACCCCCAAAGAATCTGGATGTTGTGGGAGCCTGGATTCCCTTTCAAGGTGAAGGTTCCTACTCCCAAGATAGATAGCCCGCTTCTGATCACACTGGCCCAAGGATGGCTTCTGTAAACTAGTCTTCATTCATAGAAGATGTGATAAAGGAATCATTGTGTATACACCCCATTTTCCCATCTGCCCTTAAAATGCTCTAGCAACAGGCTGCATTGGCTTCCTCTGTGCTTATCAAATGAACTCACCAAAGAACAAGCTTCCTTATACAGAGTAAAGCATTACATTCTTTTAAATCCTTAAAGACAGCATATCTTTCACTAAAGACCACTATCTATCCATCACTGTTTTTTTATGTCTGTTATAAAGTTATACATGCAAAATGCAGACATTTGAAGAGTATGAGTCGACTTGAAACATCCCGATCCCTTTATCTAAACCCCCCACACTGAGCTGTGCTTCTTTCTAGCCACTTTTCTTTGCTGTTAGCATCTGGTTCTGTTAGTCTTGTTGCTCTTAAAGTGATGACTGAAATGTTTCTCGATTCCAAAAGCTCTCAGAATGAGTAAATGATTTGCAGTGGCGTCCTTAGGCCGCTCTGATTTAGGAGTTGTAGGTAGGGCACAACTTCTTTGGACTGTGACAGGATAAACCTGATACTCAGCCACACTAAGACATGAAAACTCAGAGATTCTCACAGGTTTTGTCTTAGCGTTTCATTCTCATCCCCTGTTTGGAAAGACAAAAGGATCAGACCCCCATATGACCAGCAGAATGGCAAAACCTCCCTGGAATATGGTGTCAGGCACATCTGCCTTGTAACTGTTTGGACCCCAGAAGGTTGAGAATCTGCCGGTGGTTAGGCTGAGTCCAGTCAGCACAATCCAGAGCAAGGACAGAAAGAGGCAAGCTCACAGATCATTGTATGTGAGCTGGGAAGGGCAGCCCTGGGCTGTGGCCTGTGGAATCAGGGGCAGATGGCTTCCCCGTTTTTCATCTCTGAGGTCCCCTCCTGCTCAGAAATCCTCTGATCTCTGCCTCCATCAGAAACCGTCTGAACTGCACCCAATGCCTTCAGCACCCATGGCTGATGAAGGACACCAAGAACATGGAGGCCAAGAAGCTGTCCAAGGACCGGATGAAGAAGTACATGGCAAGAAGAAAGTGGCAGGTAACGTGGGCTCGGTGGGGATGGGATGCTGCTCTTCGGATTAGCTTTACTCAGGCCCAAGTGACCCTAGCTGCATTCCAAGAAAGTCTGTTTCTGAAATGACTTAGTAAGTCCAGTGTAGACGGCTGATAAAGGCACAGTTACTTAGGCCCTGAGCATGAAGTCCTTAGCTCAGAGGAAACTCCAGTCCTGTTCATCTTTGTCTCATGGGGACCAGAGGCCTGAGTAGCCTCCCCCCTTAGGTGAAACTGCTAATGGTCCAGTCTTCCTGGCTTGGGATGAGCAGCATGACCTGAAGAGTATCTGGCAGTCCTAGAGAAGCTGAGCTCCTATAGGGAAGCATGATGGTCACATATTTCCTTGTATGGTTGTGGGTGGGGGTGTATGCTCCCAAGAGGAAACAGTGGTAACTTTAGGCAAGGTGGTTAACCTTGTTGTGGATTCATGTTCTTATCTAGCAAGTGGGGATAACACTGATACCAAAAATTGTGGAAAATTATGAGACAAATTTTGAAGGTCTTTAGGACAGTGCCAGAAACACAGTGGCATTCTGCAATGCCATCAGTAGCTAATATGTATGGAGGGCTGGCCGTGGATCAGAGTTTATGCAAAGGATTTCCTGTATGTGTTGTCTCTTTTCCTTTTACTATGATAAAGCACCCTTAAGGGAGAAAAGTTTATTTTGGCTCAGAAATGAGGCATGGTCAATTATGGTAGAAAAGTCACAGTGTCGGGAGATTGGGCCACTGGTTGTATCTGCAGCCATGAAATACATCAGTGAACAGTCAGCTTGCTTTCTTTTTATTCAGTTTAGAACTCTAGCCATGGAATAGTTTTACCTACAGTAAATGGATTCTCTCACCACAATGAACCTAATCTAGGTAATCCCTTGCAGGCATGTCCAGAGGCTAACCTAATTTAGAGAGCCCCTCTCCAGTGTGCCCACGTTAACAATAAGTACTAAACATCACATCTGTGCATTGCATTTACATCTTATCACAGTGATTAGTGTCCCCACTTTATAGACAAACCAAGGAAGAGAGTAGATGAGAGAAGTCACTGGGGTCTTAGGGCTCAGTGGAAAACCAAGGAATCAAGCCTAGAACCTGGCTCCAAAGTACACAGCGTTAACAATAACAGAACGGCCTCTAATCACAAGATGGTAATATTTTCATCAAAACCCTGGGGCACTTAGCATCTTCTCCATCTGCTGGATTCTTTCTTTTATCATAATTTGAATTGTAAAACTCTTAGGCTTCAGGAGAGGACATGATTTCCACACCCATGTGGAATGTATAGTGCAGTGGGAAACCAAAGCAAATGTCACATGAAAGGACACAGACACCCCAGGAATTATAAATGATCAGTATAGCTCCATGACCATATATGTAAGTGTAGATGGAGAAGGGGGCCATTCCACTGGCGTTGACATGGTTATAAGAAAAGCCTTCAGGGGCAGGAGCTAGGAATTTAGTAGAGATCATACTTAAAGCCCAGGGGGGGAGGAGCAACCGCAGGGGTGGAGGAAACGGCAGGTGGAAACTGGACCCGCCTTCAAACTACATAGGGCTGGACATAAAGGACGGAGCCTCTAACAGGAGATTCAGGGCTAGGAGCACTGAGACTGTCCGTGTGACGGAGACACTGGTCACTAGCACACAGGGTGACTAAACCACAGTTCCCTTAGAAAACACGGCTTCTTCACACAAGGGTTAAGAGTTGAGGAAAGACCATGAGGGCCTGCGGGTGCAGGGCTTGAGGGGCTGGCATCCTGAGCACATGGCAGCCAGAGCCCTGCTACAAGGAGCTTGGAAGGACTGAGCTGATCTCCTGACTCCTTCAAATGCAAGGTAGGTGGGAACACCTGCCTCACTCACCTCCTGGGGCCTTTCAGGTCCGAGTAGAAGCATGCTTGATTTTTTTAAAGGCATCTACAAAATCAAAGTTGTCTGTGTCAGATGTCAGGATTCTTGGGAAAGGAAAAAGAAACAGCCTTCAGAGAAGCAAGTTTAATTGGATCTCAGTTGCCTGAAGCACTGGTTAAGAGCGGCCATGTTGCTTCAGAATGTCTGCAAATGGCTCCAGGCCAGGAGGGTGCTAGGACCAGGGCATGGGCACAGACAGGAGATGTGGATGAGAGAGAACGGAGAAAGAAGAGCTCTTCTCTGCAGACAGGGACCCCCACGTCACAGCCCCTCTCCTAATCGCTGGGTTTGCTCTTTACTGGCCATTGGAGTTTCTGGAAAGGCAGGGATCAAATTCAGAAAAGAACCTTATTTCCCTATTTTAATTTAAGTAAAGCATTTGGAACTGACTTTTCTGCAAAGTTATACACAAATTAGTCCATAAAAATCTCGCTCACCATCAGTGTCCCGGGGAGTAATTTCACTGGGAACAGTTCAGCTGTGTTGATCGGCTGTTAAG